TACATGGCATATATACACGGTATACAATTACATTTTGAACGTTATTATTCTATTAATATTTATTATTTCATTAATTACTAGGTGGGAAATTAATAATTTAATATATTTACTGTAGATGTTATTTTATATAATATAAAGTATTTAATAAACTAACTATAAAGAAGACAAAAAAAAGAGCAAGTAAAAACTAGTGATGATCTAAGTTTACTCTAAGATTTTATTATAAGCTTTTAGAAAAGACAGTACAGTATTATACAAATTATAACAAGATTTATTTATATAGAGTCACATAGTCCAATTCTTTATTGGAATTTCTGGAGGATATAGAAGAATAAAATTAAGACACAAGTTAAACATAATTCAAATCCATATAAACATCACCCTCTCCAATCTAACTTGGCTCATTTTTAAAAAGTTTCAAAAACGAAAATGGGAACCAAGCGTGATAATCAGCAGTATACAACGTTCGCTACGTCATTTTGTGTTGAGGGGCACAAGGGAACGGGGATTAGCAATACATGCACTGCCAATGAAGGAAGTTGTCCCAATCATGAAATGTCAGATAAGTTTGACGGCAGACATTTGATGAGCAAAGGATACTGTGACAAGGACAACACCCAGTTAAAAAAAGCAAAGATAACGAGAAAAAAAAAAACATAAGCACAAAGATTTTTATTTGTAGATGTCTGCTGCCCTCTGGTTATGAATGAAGTGAGTTTCTTGTTTATTTAACTTTATACTGAGATAAAAAATATTAAAAACAGCTTGTTTTCATTTTTATCAGCTATCACAATCAGTATGTAACAAATGTTTGAACATTCTTATAATTTAGATTTAAATAAATTACATACTTTAATGGGTTTGTATAATATAACAGTAATTATTATGTGCACAGTAAAAATACAATTCTTTTACATGAAATTAGCTGTTTTACAACATTCCATCAAATTTTTTTCTGGCTCTCCCTTAAATAATTCATGTATTTTTAAAACAAATTCTCTGCCCAGAATAGTCCTAAGTACATTCCCTAACTTCCAATTATTTCCATAGGGTACCCTGAGATTACTATATTTTAAAAGTAGTCCTATATTGAACAATTAAAAGATATTATTTTTCTCCCTTTTATTTTAACCTTCATTTTGTTCTGAATAAATTCTAAGTTTACATTTACAGTCTTTTACTATAAACATGAATTTAATACTTTCTGTCATTTGCCTAATCTAACTTGAACAGATTAATTTCTTTGTGGAAGTTGTAGAAGCTGATGAGTTACAAAAAAAAAACCTACCAAACATTACGATACTGACAGTAAAGCTGCCAGAAAAAAAAATACACAACAAAAAAATATACTATCTAATTAAATCATAAATGATGATAATTATTTAAACTATGATTCATGGTTTATGTCTTGTAAACTCAATTGTACTTTTTTTATAGTCGAATAAATAAAGTTAATTAAACAAAAAATAATCTTATATTTGTCATCAACAATACAAAGCTCTCTTTGTCTATCACCGGCAGATTTGATTAAATTTGTAGTTGTTTTAAAATTGAACAATGCACTTCACACCTCTTGATATTTTGAAAATAAAACACAGAAATGTTGGCATATATTAGATTCCTAAACTTGTAAAAGTTGTACTGTAGGTTTGTACATACATACATACAGTGCAGTGCAAAAACATACAAAATTGGGATAGAAAAAAAACAGAATGGAAACAAGAGCTATTCTGCAGTTGGAGAAAAAGTCAACCAAACAAGTCAAGATGCAAAAACCTATCTATAGTATATAAGTTAATTTTCATAAGAAAAAAAAATGATAATTAAACAACAAAAAAATTCAAAATATGTAGATAAAATTATAAAAATAAATTAATCGTACATGAGGTTTTGTGTCCATGCCCGCTCATTAAATTGTTTTGTATTTGTATTGTATACCGCCATTGTATTGTACTTGTTTTCTTGGCAAATAAAGAAAAAGAATAAGAAACTAAAGTGAAATGTTTGAGATATGTAGAAGTGTTGTGACTCGGACTCTCAACCTTGAGGTCGGGGGTTCGAAACACTCGCTGTGCAAGTCGCTTGTGTCATTAGGCAGGACAATTTATCTATGTTTGTCTCTCTCCACCCAGGTGTATAAATGGGTTCCGGCATATGCTGGGAAGGTAAAACAGACTGCAGTGCGGGAGGAGTCGCGAACTTCCACAGTCTGGCCCAAGGAAAGAGAGATGGGCACTCTGGCCTGTGAGACCAGCACTTCAGGTCTTGCCTTAACAATTAATATCACAATGAAACTTACCCGCCATCTACTATCTCATCAACAGCCAGGAAAACTGAATCTAAATGTTCAAACAAAGCTTTCTTCTCCACGTTTTTCCTACAAGATAATAAAGTACACTTGATTTAATAATATATTTCTTTAAAATAAGTTTAATTCTATGTTTTTAAATCAATAATACAATATACAAATTAAATTAACCTTATGGCGGAAGAATATGAAAGTCAGTTAAAAACTGTAAAAATAGTTTAAAGTTATATGAGATGTGAAAAACAATGAATAATTATAATGTGATTTGTAATGTGATGTAAATAAAATGAAGTTAATGTAAATAATACACAAAATTGATCTGATATTGGAATAGTATTAAATCATATTTCAAATATAATTTAATATATAGCAGATCACTTAAACACTACATGAAAATAAAAGCAATAAACTATAAAATTTTAAAAACTAAAAACTTTTTAAAACTGTTCAGATAATAATATTATTATTTCCATTTTTTCTTGGAAAAATAATATTATTATTTCCATTTTTTCTTGGCAGCGTGGTGCTAAATGGCCAAAAATATAATTGTATTTTTATTCAAAATCATCATTATTGGTGAGCAGTGGGTTCGCTAAACAAGATATGAAAAAATCTCTCCTAAATATTAATAAACAAGTAGAATTTATATGTAAAAAAAGTAAGAGAGTGGGGAAGATTTTAATTTTATATTCAAAGTTGGTGCCCTTGTTCAAATGAACAAGGGAAACCAACTTTGAATATAAAATTAAAATCTTGTTTAGCGAACCCACCGCTCGCCAATAATGATGATTTCGAATAAAAATACAATTATATTTTGGGCCATTTAGCACCACATCATACTGCCAAGAAAAAATGAAAATTTCAGAAAAAAAATTAATGTTTTACTTTATTTTTAATATGCCCGCCGCTACCTTGAAATCTCCAAGAATAAGATATGTATTTTCTTCCTAAATTTATAGCATTTAATCATCCCATAATATTACACTGTTTACATTAAGCATAGAGCAAAGAAACTTTGTTCTATGCATTAACCAATACAATTTAATTTTTTTTTCTCCTCTGTCTGAATGTTCTTGGCAAAACAAATAAGAAAACAAAGTTTTATTTTTTTTTTCAGCCCTCCTCTGATGACCTTTGAAAAAAAGAAACAAGGTATAAACAAAATCTTGACTTAGTTTTTATGATTCACCCAAGACATTCCATGCTTGCAAAGCAAGATTCTTCCTGTTCTTTCCTCTTCAAAAAATGTCTAGAGCTAAAAGACTACTTTCCTATGACACTAATGTCAGTATTTAAAAAAAATATAAAGTTTACCAAGACAAACTGACCTTAAATGCACAAGATTTTTTAAATATTTTAATAGTTACAAAAAATTCTGATAAAACCCATGACACATTAAAGATATAGATCTACTGTCTACAAAATCTGGAATGATAGTATGTTGAATAAGAATATAAAATTAGTGATTTAAAAAGAATCAATTAATGTCATGTAACTATCTGTTAATTGGATAGGAAGATACATTCTCATTTTCAATTGAACACTAATAAGTTATCAATCCAAATATAGAATATTATTGTTAAATTAGCTTAATAGACATAATATCTTGAATACCCAAAGCAAATGACCACAAATTCACATGAAATGATATTTTTCAATATCTTAAGGAGTCAGATAGTATTAAGAATTATACTAAAGATGGTAATTGGGGCAATAAGATCAGATGGGACTAACTGATAGTGAAGACATCAATCCTCACATTAGTCATAACAAACTCTTCAATTTTAATTTTTATAAAAACTGAGGTACCTAGCGCCAAGTGGAAGTGAATACAGGAAGCAAAACGTGTTACAAATTTGTGATGACATGCAAAAAAAGATGGAGGAAAAGAATTGATGAATAAATTACAACATCGCCCTTGAAATGACAAACTAATAAGTATTTAGACAGGTCAAATTTCTGCCAAAAAAAATAATTTTCAGCACAACTATGCAAACCCTTAACATTATTGCAAGATGATGATCTAGATTTTTAACAGCTTGGGTACTGAAGCACCCCCTCAATGTTGACAAATAAACAGAATTAAATGGAGTAAACTTATATTTTTTATATGAGGAACCCATTTCTATTATATCTCAAGCAAATTCATATAATTTACACATAGATAAGGCAATGAACATTAAAAAATACCACAATAACGACAAGAATGACAACAATAATAAATTTAAAATCAGCACTTTATAATAAAAAACAATATAATATTAATAACAATTATAATTACAAAAATAACAATAATAACAATATAATAATGATGTTAATAATAATATATTATACATTCAAAAATACTGTATTTTTTTAAAGTTTAAAACTTTACTATGCATACTAACAACAATAAAATAAATTAATATTAATAAGATAGCAACAATCCAAAAATGGAAATGCATGTTTGTCAGAATATTATTTTTGTGCTGAGATTTGAATATAAGCAAACGTCATTGAATATTAATTAATTTAATATCTCATCATCATTTCAACTCTTCTTGTTCATATGTTAAAATACATAACTTAGTAAATATCTTTATTACTGTACAATTTTCAACTTTTGATGCTTGAATCATGTTTTAATATCATTATCACATGAATTCTGGACAAATCCTGACAGATTTTGTCTGTCCATCTGGGTATCGTTTCCCTCCCAACCAGTTTGTTGGAGGTTTTCCAAATGGACCTTGTTGGAATAAAATCTGTCATATTAACTCCATAATATACATCGGTAAATAGTTCCTCAATTAGCTGTGCAATCTGTAAAGAACTGCAAACCGAAAGTAAGTGATTGGTGTAGAGAAATTACCGTATGTTCAAAATAAACTTACAGGACCAACTGAAAGGATAATTTCATTATCAGTTGAATATTTTTTTTTAAAAACTGTTTCCAACGTGATATTTGCATGTGAGAACTGAGTGCAGTATACAGTCAGATGGTGCTCATTTCCTCATGTAGAACAATTACAACTTTATCGCAAGTTACGACAGAGCGTGCACGTAGATATCAAGTAAATGAACAGCGGCATTAATAGCTTGTTTTACATGGTTTTAATCAAGGCCTGCGTAAATCATATCCGAAATCAGCTAATCGTACGGTTTTTCAAGTACAAGCTTATGTTTTCACTTAAAAAAATCATTTCATATTTTCTACTATATATTTTAATTCATAAAAAAAACAAACATATACTGTAACATCCTTGCATGAGGTTCATTGATCTTGGGTGTGGAAAACAGAAATGACAGCATCTAGGAACTGCATGGTTAACATAAGCCTGGGGTTTCTGTTTAAGGGACTCAAGTTCAACAAAGAAAAACTCTTAAAGAGTTTCTTACAAATTTGTTAAGATGAGAAGTGTTTTAATCAAGTTTTATATTGTTTTACACACAGTGCATTTAAATGGCTTCCTTATTTATTTATGAATAAATTCAATACTATTTTTGTAAATATTTTATTTTCTCACATTTCACACTACCATACAGACAGAGGCATCACAACATTCCACACTACCATACAGACAGAGGCATCACAAAATGTTAACAAGTATCACTCACCATACTATACCCATATCCTCCACATCATAAAAATAAAAGATTTTGAGAAACATGATTAAAGCAACTTTTGGTAACAAAAAAAAAAACAACAAAAGAATCACAATGAACAAAAAAATCCCAGCAACAGGAAACATAATATTTAATTCAACATTCAATAACACACAGACTATATCAGAAAAAAAAAATCCAACTTCAGAACACTATGCTATTCATCAACTGCAGTATGTTTACATATTATGACTAACACAATGTAATACAGATACAGTAATTAACATGGTGATGACAAATTGAGGTTGGTCAACAATCTGTTTTTTTCCCAGGACATATGAATATTTTAAGATAGTGCTTTCATGACAGATTGAAAATAAAACAATTTTTACAAACATTTGTGACAAATTGAAACAGAACACAAATTAAGTTGACAAAAATGACAAATAATAGTAAAAGATAAATGAAAATGATATTACAATCAAACAAATAAAAAAAAAAGATACAATGTACAAGTGTACATGTTTAGATAGGGACACAAGGCATGTGACAGCTATATTTAGCCTGTAAATGACAGCGCCCTTAAAAATGGTCAGGTCAACAATAACATAGTAATAGGACTTCCCCCTTAACCACACTTAGCCTCAATTATTCACATTTTATGCTGGAGGCAATCACTCAACATTTCAGTTTTTAATCAATTTTGACAAATATTGATAACTAATATTTCCTTCTCAACATTTTCTGACCTTTCTACCAAAGAAGCTGAAAATGGTAGATATTTTAAGTAAAGTACATTTTCTAAGATTTTCAAATAGAAATAAAACAACATTTTTCAATGACTAAAAATCAAAACATAATGATTTATGGTATGCAAGTGTGAAATAAAAAAAAAAATTGGTCTTAATTTTAAAATATCACAATTCTTATATTATTATATCATACGACTGAAGTTTGTGAGTACATTTCAACTGTGGGAAGAAATTGTCATACACTGGTCAGCTAGTCCTAGTTCATAACCTTTATATTACCCACCCCCTTCACTTTCCATTCATTACATCTTCCTCTGACAGTATCACTAAAAAAGTGAAAATATATAATAATATAATTAATACTTATTAATTATCTTATCAATTATTGCTAATCTTTTAGTCTTTTTTATGTACTATTAGTTAATAAACTCCTACGATATCTCCGATCTGAAATCTACATAATTTCAACCAATTTAATCACTTTCCCCTATTTTCAAAACATGTTCCAAGTTTCACTTCAAAAATAAAATGAAGAAGATTTCTGGACATGTCTTCTAACAACCTTTCCAAGATTAGTGTACCTGTTTCACTTCTTGATATTAATTAAATAGATAGATTCCATTAATTCAATTGCAAAGATGCTTCGGTGAATGACCACAAGAGACTTTCACAATTCTATTCAACCTACTTTTGAGGGGTAACACACAACATTAAACAGAACACATATCCTTT